GGTCTGTACATAAGGGGAGTGGAGCTGCAAAAGGGAGGGAACAGAAGGTACAAAATACATCCACGAACATCCGTACACAGGTGATGGGGAAACAAAGGCCGAGAAGGCGCTGCTGCCTCAGAGCCCAAGCAGCTTCTGAGAGTGTCAGTAACTGGGGAAACACGTATTTGTTCCGCACAGAGTGCGAGAGAGGGAAGACGGAGGGAGACACTAAAATCCCACCGCCTGGGTCTGCAGCATCCAAGTCAAAATCTCCTGCCAGAGGGACAAAGCAGATTTCTCCCAGAGTTGCCTAGCGGTGGCACTCCTCCTGCCCACCTGCAGCTCCAGGCTCCCTCACTGCCCCAGCAGCTGCTCCTGCACTGAGCTCTGAAAGGACCTCATTGAGCAACTCACCATGTTCCTTCCTCAGGCTACTGCAAGCCCAGCTTACGCTAGCCAGTGGACAAATAAAAGGTGCTTGGAAGCTCCTATGAGGCAATGGGAATGCACTACAGGGAAAGACAAGTTAGAAGAGGTATCAAGAAAAAGAGCATCTGAGCTATGCTATCCCTTCCCTACCTCCAGTCTTTAAAGTACACTTGTCTCAACATGAGCTAGTTCTGGCTGCGGTTTTCAGCCCCTCACGCCTAGGCATTTGGGAACCTGAACCCTGAGTGTTCTCACACCTTCTCAAGATCCACTCTGAACACCCATTTGAGAACTGCTGGTCTAGTTTAACTAGCAGCATGCGAAACTACAAACCTAACAACTTAATGCCCTCTTAGTGCATAGCAGCATACAAAGAGTAAAGTAACATGTGCTTCAGTTACCTCTGGCAAGAGTGTCATGCCATTGCATTTCAGTAGCCTGATGATGAGGATTTTGATGAGACATCTACATGGTTTATAGTATTTCCGGACTTCAAGAAAATACTACAGTGGCAGAGATGAGGGTAAGCCTACACAAGGAAAACAGGCTGCCAACCTACCCCTTACAAACAATTTGCTCAAGACTAAAAGAAACTTAGAGAGCACAACTAAATGCATAGCATTTTACTGTTATTAGTGCTTCCACAGGGTCTGTGGACACTTCTTTATTTCAGTCCAAAAACTGCTGTATGTGGGAAAAATCTTTCAGGATACAGCAACACAATTTAAATGGTGTTTATATTGGGGTGGGTGCTGGGGTGTTAATCTTAAACTTGTAAGATAAAGTACATGTTGGGGAATATTTAACCTATCACAGCATATTTCACTCCATGTTTTTCCATGAACTTCCATGAACGCAAAGTATTACTCAGGCTTTACCATGAACCTGTTAATTGTTGGAAACTACAGAGGACTACCTGGTATAATCAAAGGAACATTTTTAAGTCTTTATGTGGGGAAAACCCCATATATTTAACAAAACATCACAGTAATACTCATGCCACAGTAAAGATGGTGGCATACTACTGTCGGTTCTGTCACTGAGAAACTGTTGTTTAAACCTTCACGTTCACCCCCTAGGATTCTTTCAATGAATTGATACGTGCACAGATTTTCAATGCAGGTCCAAGCTTAATATTCATTGCACTCATAAGGTGATCCTCCTTCAACAAGAGGAGAGCTTGTCCATCAATTTCTTGTGCTCTAAATTCATCCGCAATATCTTCACAACCTACAAGGTAACAGAAAGAAGAATTACTGGGTTAGAAATGTGCATTCTTAGATGCAATGACTCTGTCCATACTAGAGCTTTTCAGCTACACAATTTCCAATGCTTGTCCCTTCAGTTTGTGGAACTTGCAGTATATGCAAGAGTTCAATACTATGATGGCAACTTCTGAGATAACCTGAAAGTAATTTTTACTATAGCCTCTAATAACACTGTAACTATTGGAGAATTACTCATTGGAAATTCCAAGTCCTAGCAAAGACAGCTTTCTCATTTCATTAAGAGGAACAATCGCTATGATCTCACAATTGGAAGAGACTGGCAAAATACCACTGAAACAGCAATCAAGTAATCAATCTTAGTAACAACAGCAATCAAGTAATCAATCAAGTAAGCAATCAATCTTAGAGGTCTTTTCCAACCTTAGTGATTCTATGATTCTATGATAAGTAAGAGCATAATTCAAGTGGGTTCTTTCCATCAATAAAAATATATCCATATTCCAAAAGGTGTTAATTCCATCTGTATGTTACCACCACTGAGTTAAGTAAACAGAATTTTGATTTATGGGCTTTAGCATAAGTGTGTCATGAAGACATTTATCATCAGTTACCTGAGTGAATATTCTATACACAGCACTAAGTCACTTCACAAGTGCAACTTTAAACTAGTTGGATATTTTTTTTTTTTTTTAAGTTATAAACTCTTTTTCTGAACGTGAAATAACATGGTCTTAGGTTACTGAGGCCTACAACATAAGAAAGGGGACTCTTCATGGGTTGGACTGTCCCAAGTAACTGAGGGCCCCTTTCCGCTGAAGAACACTGTGGAAACAAAAGGTTCCTCCAAAGATGTTCTGGACATCTGTTAAGCAGAAACAGTCAGTTATGCCTGGCTGGATGGCAGCTCTGTAATATGGACAAATGTTTAACAACGTGAATAAGAGCACTCATTGTCAGTTGTTTATTTGAAACTTCTTTCGCCATAGCCACGTTTCTCCTGTTTTCAATATATTTGTGTTCTCAATCCAGTGGTCTCTCTGCCTCTCTCAGAGCCTTTCAGACACATTTTAATTTCTGCTCCACCTTCATTATTCCTCGGTTAAGCCTATTTTTTGGCATTTTTATACTTTCCCCTTTTCTAAAGATATACTATTACAGAGATATGAAAATACTGTGAAGAACTCCACCCCAGATGAGAGCAATTGACTAATTTCATGTCCTCTTGTGTGTTCAGATTTAAATTCTATAAAGAATAGATAGTCTAATTTCCTGATGGATTTACAAATGTGTAAGAATAGAAAGGAATCGTGGAGGGAAGTATCAACATCCAAACCCTACTTTATTTGGATTATTACTGTGTAGTGGTCGTAACATTCAAGGTTGGAAAAGGTTAGCTTTTCACAATGAATAAAGCCCAATTTTTTTTTTTTAATGATTTGTTAAACAAACCTCGTGTAACAATTAGCTGCCACTTTATTAAGGCAGCTAAGATTTTATTATTCCAGCTGGAAATTATTGTTTTATTATTCCTTTAGCTGGAATTTTATTGTAGCCTCTGGTTTCAGGCTAAACCTCTGTAGTTTAGATTACAACTCTATTAACTACAATCCCAAAAGTAAAACAGTTACTCTGTAGCAGCTGAATAACTTTTAATCAAGACTAAGGACTATTTTGCAGAGCATTTAAAATAAAGCAGCTTTAATACATGATAAATGCCCAGTTCTTGGGCATTATTTATTTTAACAAGAAATTAGAGTGGTACGTTTTGGAGGAAAAAAAACCAAATTGGTTTGTCACAGTATTTATATAGCCACTAAAATGTTTTATTTCTTGCACGTATTCCATAACATTTACTTTTAATATTTCTGGTACAGTGATGCACTAGTGCAGCCCAGCTACAAACTGTATCACAATCAATAAGAGAACATTCTTCAGGGGTCCAGAGTTGTCATAGAGCTGGAATGGTGCTGCCAATTCCAGCTACAAAGTGAAGATAATGCTGCCACTAACATGAAGAAAAATCTTAAGATAACTGACTATTCTCAGCAGGATTTAACAGCTCTAACATCATCCTAAAGGTTCTTATTTATGTGTTGACAAAATGCCCATAAGTCAAGTACTAAGTATTTCTGTGAAAGGTATCACTGTTTATCTGACTTGAGACCTGAACGTGGTGATTGTCAGACCACAGCATTTACAAAGAATCTGAGAGATCAAGAGAAGTTTTTGCATCTAGGAACAAAAGTTGTCCCATTAAAATAGATAATTGGCTGTTGTTGCAGGCCTTTTTCTTTAAGCAGGACATGAAGCATTTCCATGCAACTTTTCCTAAAATATCTTTTCTCAAATCCATTTTGGAAAAGCAAAGGATGAAAGTTGAATGTATTTCAGTTCCCTCATCCAAGCACATTTGGGTATTCTTCAGCACTTTCGCAATTGGTTGTTGTGCAATAACTTAGCTAAAATAAGGATGGGAAGCGGGTGAAAGACCATTAATCTTGCAACTGAAGAAAGAAACGAAGAACAACTCTGCTGGGGCTTAAACTGTTGCTGTCTCTTCCCCCCAGAAGAAATAAGTAACAGCAGAAGTGTCCTACAATCTTCATTTCTCCAAAGGACTCCAGAGGAATTCAGGAAAAGCCTGACAAGGACACTTGACTCTGCAGTTAGATCTCAGCTACAGGCTCTATGCAGAAAGCTGTAAATCAAAACAGATGTCCCTAATGTTTATGAAAAGCTGACAAATCACCATCTCCTACAACATGGCAGATGCTCTGCATGGACTGCACCAAGTATCTATTGCAAAATGGCATAATGAAAGTCAATTATATTATTTCTTGTATTATTCAACTCTGACAGCATATGAAAAAATCTTTTTTCAAGAGAGTGGCTTGAGAATATATTAAACAGAATAAACCCCAAAATTGCCAAAAAAAATGAATGTAGCTATGTAACAATAAAAATTCTGGCAGGTTGTGAATATAATTTTAAATACCTATTGAACTTTTTTAAAAAAAGTTTGAGAAACTACGCCTTAATATGGATGAGAATAAGTAATTATAATATATTTTCTTAAATGCAGAAAAATATAAAGTTTGTTTAAAATCAAAGATTACCTTGTTTATAGAATACAAAAAAACCCAGATCCAGCAGCTGCTGGTATATTCTACACGTAATGGTTTCAAAACAGAAACCACATTTTAAGAATAGTATTTTTGTTTTCATACTTGCAAGTGAATTGTGTTTATGTGGTACTTTAAGTTTTCTAGGACAGGAATTATCCTTTATTCTTTTGCAGAACTTAGGATCAGGAAGTTATTGAATTAACTAGAGCCTCAAATCTGTAACAATAGTAACTCAAAACAGCAGCGATATATTCCAGTAACACAGCTGAAGTACAGAAACATGAATAACTATGTCTTAAACCTAAGGAGCTTTGCTTGTTTTTTACAGACATCACTGTAGGTTCCCAGAAGAAGATAATGTAACTTAACTGCAATTTATAAACCACCAGAAAAAAGGTACTTCAAGGATGACTTTTGCTGATTTAAGACATCCCTTAGTCAATTCTTTGCCTGACCTACTTTATAAAAAATTAACTGTCAAAAACCATGTGCATGACTTAGCAATGAAGATAAAGTCTGTACAGGTTATTAGTCTAATGGGATACACAGAAAAATGGTTTAGCATTTCTAAACTAGAAAATTAGAAACAAACTTAACCTGGAGTTCAATGTTTTGACATGTGAGTTACATGGGTAAGCAACAAAAATTCTTGTATGACTGCTATTCTGGAGACCTGCCTTGTTACCTGAAAGGATTACAGTATCTGATCAGATAGAATGGCATCCTTGGGAAAGAGGGGGGAGTGAAACTTTAACGCTTATGATAGTTCGGAAATGATAAATAAATGTCAAATAACCTGAAGATGATAAAAAGGTAACTGTGAATACTGAGCTACAGAAAAGGTTTGTAAATAAGGAGAAACAAGATAATTTTTTTCTGAGAACAGACTGTGTCTACCAGTATGCAGAGTCTATATGCAGAAGTTCTCTGCATTTCAGTTACTGAGCCAAGCTATGCAAAACAAAGTTTAGCTTTATAGAAGAAACTCACTTTTTTTTAAATGACTTGTATCAGGACAGGTCTTCCAAATTTTTCAGTTGTATAAAGGCAAAAAACTCCCTTCTTGCTTCTTCTACTGAATAAGCAGCAAGTAAGGAGGGAAGAGAAGAAAAATGTAAAAGGGAGGAAGTGTGTCTGATCTCTCTACTGACCTCTTGAGAGAAGTCAGACTGAAGGGAGGAACAGCTCTAATCTCCATCAGCTGGGATGCAGCGGAACTGGGACTAGTTCTATCAACATGGGATTTGTGCTGAAGGAACAAGCAAGAGGAAACAAATCACATTCCAGTTTCTATCACCAACGAACGAGTACACCAGTGCTGTAAACACACCACCTCCTCATCACACCAATGCTAAAAAGCAAGGAGCTATTGCACATACCAGGCAAAGAATGTATGAAGGCCCAAACTTCATCAACAGTCCATACTGATGGGTCAGCTTGCACCACTGGTAACAAGTCAATGCTCTCTGGCATTTTCCTAATTCTTAGTTCTCTAAGTTCACGTTCTCTCTCTCTTTCACTCTGTCTTCGCAGACGGGTGGTCATGGCAGCTGGAACAGCATCTTCATGAGAAGCCACATCATCTTCTGCAGATGGATAAGTAATTGGAAGCTGGAAAACGTAGTACAAATACACTACAGTATTACATTTTATTTGTAATTCCCAAAACAGTGCCATAGTTTTAAGCAAATATTCCACAGACCTGTCTAAGAAAATGATCTCGTGACGCCCCATCAGGGCCACTCGGTCGACGCCCGCGTCGCCCAAGACTTTGGCTATCTGATTTCCGATTCCAGCGGCTGGTCTTGTCTGATGTAAACAGCCCAAATTTCTTAGTGCAACTAAGGCTGTGCCTAAAGAAGATAGATATATTCAATAATGCACTAATAGTTTTTTGGACTGCATTCAATCAAGTAACAATAAAATTACATTGCTGTCTACAGAAATACTGCCTAATCACAGACAACAACAGGTGTCACAAAAATGTAAGAGAAAGGTATCTCAAAGGCCATTTACTCAAACCCCTTGTCTTGATGCAAGATCAAATATATCTCGATGGTCCTGGAAGATGTCCATCTTTCCCATTCTTAAAAATTTTCCATGATAGAAATACCTTTGCATTTTATCACATAGTCCAATCCTGCTTCTCTAAAATGTCCACTAAAAGCCTAAAGTCACATTATATATTTTGCTTCCATTTTCTCCACCTAGCTGATACCCAGTCAAAGGAGGATGGAAGCAAAAGGGCCAAATCCCTTCTTATTTCGCTAGTAATGTCCCAACAAGTACCAAATCAAACATATACATTCCCGCTACTTAAAATGGAAATGTCTCACACTGAGGATTAAAAAAGCAGCAGACATAAGAGAAAGGTGGTCTCAAGGCACACTGATGCAAAAAAAAACCTAAGTGGTGATTAGAAATGGGAAATTATTCCCCATTTCTATAACATCTGGGATTAAATATCAAATTTCCAGCTGTAATGATGGAAGATTTTACATTCAGATGTTGACTATGAATTCTTCCTCTCTGAACCAAAACAAAAAAAAAGCAGCAAACTAAACCCAAAGAGAAACAGAAACCAGCCATTTTCCTCTGCTAACCCTGTATAAGCAAATGGCATCACTTATTATTTTCAAGAAGCTTTAGAAAACACGAAATTATTTATGTTTATGAATAATTCTATTTTACTCTATGCAAATGAAGAATTTTTACACTGTTACTAAAAACGATTAAGAATGTTTTTTGTCTATGCAGCATTTCAATTATGCCAAGATAAATTCAGTGGAGTTTTTTCCCTAGCATCACACAAAGCTGTAAGAAAGCCCAGCTTTCTTTCTCTGACATTGCCCAACATCAAGGGGAAGACAATATAAATATGAGAAATATGTAATGATTTGTGGCTCACGAACCTCTGCACCAATTTCCAAACACTTAGTAACCCTTAGTGGATTTCTCTTCCATGACACCCGTCGCCTTCCTACAAGCCCAACAGCATTCACAGCACCCTCTGGAAAG